TCCTTCCTTCCTTCCTTCCTTCCCGATTTCGACGGCCAATTCCGTCTACGAGCAGAGCCATCGTTCGATGCCGCGTTCACCGGATTATCCTCACTGATAGCTCTTCTTGCGACGGCACTGACCGTTTTTAGGCATCGGCAGATCTTTCGGGAAAACGTGAAAACGGATATTGATTATTATGTTCGTCCACCTCTCTTCGCCACTTCTCTTCCTTCTCTTCTTCTTCCTCCCCCTCCTCCTCCGCCACCCGCAATCAACTGGCCGGCCACTTTGCCGGGGCGATACTTGTAAAATATTCTCTTGCAAGGTCGTACGGGATGGTGAGCGCATCGTGTTTACGATATTGCAGCGTGTCTGCTGCCATTTCCATCCCTCAAAGGGCTCGGCGACGTTTCGTGAAAAACAGACGCGCGTTCCTCGTCTCTTTCGTATTTGTATCAATTTTATCCGTTACGCTATTTCTGTAATTGAGGGAATGCGTGTACTCGTGGCTGTAACTCGTGGAGAGCTCTTGCACTGTGCAGCACAATGAAAAATATCAAACATTTGCACGACGCGCAGTCTGCGCACGAGTAATTAATTATTAAACACGTTCATGTTTAATTACGCATGCTTTTAAACCGCTGGAGCTTTAGTAACGTTAAAACCTTAAGGAACGAGAATATATTTCCCTTGCAAAACACGTGCATTTTCTGTCAAAAGCGTCCGTTGAGATATCCTTGGGGTGTCATTTCTGTTGGATTCGTTAATTTGCAAGACTCAACGGACATAGACTGCACAGAAAATAACGACAGCACCGAGATCTATCAATATTTGAGTTTTCGAGAAGAATCTTGCCAGCGAAAGAGGAAGTAACCATTTTTCAAGAGCCTTACGTCTTCTCGCTCCATTTTTGTTTATACAGTTATTGCGTACGTCTGTATTTAATTTCCTCGAGCTTACGAGGAGTATGAACGGTTGGATGTAGCGAGATAGAACATAGTATGTGCACGTATGAATCTTTCCCGGGTGCTTGTTTAATATTTACGTTCTTCGAGTCCGGCGGTGCTTGGGCCGAATTTAAAGCTCGCCGTAACCTGTCGCTACGTTGGCCGTGTGTTTTCTCACGCGGGGATTATTTTAAACCTTTTTATGCGAACAGCTTGGAATATACACTGCACGATAAAGCTCGCGAGCGTATATTGACGATGCTTTTCGCGTCGCAACGTTTCGTAAAATACGGTTCCATTAAAAAAAGAATAGCTTAATGGCTATCGACCATTTAGAAAATGCATAAAATATTTTCTCGTTAAGATAAAAAGATCGGTATTTAATGGCATGTAACGCGTAAATAACGGTGGATCTATCGCGGACTAATGAATCTGGCCCTCCGCATGCGGCTTCTATAAAATTGATCTTAAAGGAGATTAAGCACGACGCTCGCTCGAATCGAAAGTGTGTATGAAATGTGCATTACAACAGTGTGTGAAATGTGAAAAGCTTCGTCGTTATTATCGTCATTATTATTATTACCGTATGTAGCAGTTGATCGCGCTGCAGGATGTGTGTGTGTTTGTGTATGATAATTAATTCACAATAACAACACCGACGACGAAAAGTAAAAAACGGCGCGAGCCGAGACAGCGAGCCGGGAAGCGTGCGCGGAATAAAAGGCTTGGTCATACACATCCAGCTTCCCGGCCGTTTCTCCCTTGTTTCCCGGGGCGTTTCGCCCCGTAAGTTTCTCCAGAAAAATTTTTCCCTTCATTTCCTATGTAAATTTCTTCGCATACACCTCCTCCAGTGTATGCACGCGTGCGGGTATAACGCGCAAGCGCTTTCTCCGTCTGTTTAAAGAACACTCTATATCTGCAGATGCCGCCTGCGTGTTAAATATATACAGAGGCGTTTTGGCTCGCCCGCGAGAAAAATCCCGCATCTTCTCTTTCTTCGGGCCGGCAAATTGCGGAAATCTGTCGCCGGGACGCTGCTCCGGGTTGTTACGGAATGATTTTTTATTGACATCAAGCGCACTCGACCGGCGTCTCGGTGCGGATCGCAGTTCATGTATGCGGAGTCGCTGTCGGGCGAGAGTTCGCTTTAAATGTCTTTAGTCCGGCGCTTTAAAACGCGCGCGCGCAATAAAGTTCACTACTGCAACGTCCCGTCCAGCGCACCCGGGCGACGGACCCGGGTTCGTCCGGTTTTACAGACTGCGCACTTCCGTTCCGGAGGAACGCGAAAATGGATGCCGGCCAAGTCGTATCAACGTGGAATATTTTCTCACGGAGATATGTCTTCCGATCGACTCCGCGCGGAATGTTTCTCCACGGTATACCCCTCTCGCGAGCAAATATTGCCCGGTTTATGCGCGGCGCGAGTAGACGCGAAACGGCGTTACCGTGCCAACGCGAGTGTAATAACATTCGAGAGGATTCACAGTCGCGGAATTTTAATTTTTGCTCTTTCGCCCGTGGCATTTAAGCTCGAAATTTAAGCATCGCACGGTAGCGCGCGTCGCGACGTGCGTGTTCGACAAAGTAAAGCACAGGTGTGAGCCGGCGCGACGACGCGCTAACTCGCGTAATTCTCGCTGCACATACTTCTTCATTTCTCGAAGTAAGAAATGTTTTATGTATCACGATGCTCTTCATCTCCGCCGCAGATATATACTTTTATTTGTTGTAAGAGGCTGTGACGTGACAAAGGGTGTAAAAAATACACACACACACACACACATATATATATATATATAGTTATTGAGGGAGATCTGGCGTCTTTGGAGTTTGCGATCAATTCCGGTCACGAGCCCTACAATCATCTCGCGGCACAGTCGTCGGATTATTCTGGCTGACGGCGCTTCTTGGTGGCTTTCAGGTGGTCCGAGAGTCGAGCGGGAGTACGTACGATAGTTACCGGCCATTATTGATGTGCCTTAGTTACTGACCGTCGTGTGTATGTACGTAGGTGTGTGTGTGTGTGTGTGTGTATGTGTGCATGTGCGCGTGTTTGTATACATGTATATACGTGTGTATACCGCAGTTACTGGCCGTTGCAAGTTTTCATTAGTTACTGTCCGTTATGAGCATCCGGTACGGAGTAATAGTTGTCGACGTTGAGTGGTTTATTGACGTCGCAAACTTTATAACGCCTAATTCGCCTAGTGCGCGTCCCGCCTCGCCCGCGGCGAGGCGCCCGTAATCAGTCGACAAAGGCGCAGGTTAATAGGCACATCGGTGTCTTAAGCTTCGAAGTCGATTTCACGCGGCAAGACGAGCGCGTTCATCGGATCGTGCATGCAGATACACGCAGATCTCGCGACGCGGTAAGGTTCCGAAATGTAAAATTCCGCGGGCGGATGTCACGCCGTGGGGGGGGGGAGGAGGAGGGGGCGGGGGGAGAGCGACGGATTTGAAAATTGTGAAACATATATGCGCCGATGCAAAATGTACCAACGGACACGGTGATTCTTTTTACGAAGAAATGAAATTGTATTTGCGGGAAAACGCGAGATAGCCGCGATTGCTTTGTGAAAACCATTGTATTTGCGGTGGTATTAAATCCCCACGTCGCGAGAAGTTACCGTTAAATAACAAATACGTTATTTCGTAAAAAAATCTCGCTAAACAGTAGCTTCGTGTAAAGTCGAAATGTTTGAAAACCGAGCGAAAACCGGGAAGCATGTTTTCACAGACGTATTTTTTTACCTCGACATGACTAAAATTTTCGTGAACGGGAAAAAAATTCTCTGTTTGTAAACTCGCAAGATTTACACTCGCTCGCACAGGAGAAAGCAAAATTCCTTCCCTCTTTCCCTTCCTCTCTCTCTCTCTCTCTCTCTCTCTCTCTCTCTCTCTCTCTCTCTCTCTCTCTCTCTCTCTCTCTCTCTCTCTCTCTCTCTCTGTTTCTCTCTCTCTCCCTTTTTCTCTGAATTACATGCACGTCTCCGTGATAGCTGTTATAACGTTAAAGCATTAAATTCGCGAGTGTTAAAGCATTGCTTGGCACGGAATAAAAGATAAAAATTAAAGCAATCTCGCGCTTTGTTTATCGCTCGCTATTAATCCACTTTTTGCCAGATGGTTACATTCCGCCGCATTCTCTGAGATGCTCCGAGCAAGCGAGATGTCTCTGCTCTATTTTCCGGGATTTTGTTTGTGTTTTGAAAATTTTCAGGACGATAGGTGCACATAGAAAGTTAAGGCATGGGCCATTAATGTATAACGGGTATTCTGGTCTGCAAAGCCAGCAATAGTTATGCGCAGTAGTTAGTGTTTGCATTCCACGGACGTATCAGTAGTTGCGGATCGCCATGTCGAGCAGTAGTTACTAACCGTTATGAACGGGCAGTGATTACTGTTCATTATACGCGGACTGTAGTCACCGACTGTTATGACTAACAGTGACAGCTGTGTCGCCAATCTATATTCCAATTATCGTGTTATGTACGAAAACCGTATCGAATTTTTTCTCCTTTTTTCATCTTTTTCCTTTTCCGCTTTTTGTTTTTATGTGTTTCTTTTCTTTTTTTTTTCGTTTTTCTCACCAAAATCTGCAAGTCAGGTTGAAAACGCACAGTCTGAAATTTTCGACGGCATAGATAACGAAAAGTAATACGAAAAGCTAATAAATATGGTGAGAGAGAGAGAGAGAGAGAGAGAGAGAGAGAGAGAGAGAGAGAGAGAGAGAGAGAGAGAGAGAGAGAGAACGTTCTCTCTCTGCGATATACATATTTCATTTTTCCCGTGCGGGCATACGCGCGCTTTTCATTTTCATCGTATTAAATTTTAGCGATAGGCATCAAAACTCGTAAATGAACGCGGAAATTACGCGGGGATGGAAATTGTTGCACACGATTTCACGAGAATTCGATTTTTCGTTAGACGCGTGGGAATTATTCCGCCCGAGTTATTTAAACGCGAAATACGTCATCGAAGACACATTCGTTCTGCGGCAGCGTGAGTGATAAATCGCTACGGCTTCACTAATGAATTCTTTTTTGCCTTTTTGCCGGTTCGCAGGTGTCATGGATCAAACGGAAGAACGTGCAGGAGTTACTGACCGTAGGACTGACGACGTACGCCAATGACGAGCGGTTTCAGGCGATTCATTTCCACCACAGCGAGGACTGGACTCTTCAAATAAAATACGTTCAACCGAGGGACGCCGGCTCATACGAGTGCCAAGTGTCTACTCATCCGCCCACGAGTATATTTCTGAAACTCGAGGTTGTCGGTAAGAGTAAAATTTAATCACGGAGTTAATTATCAATTATATACACTCAGCCGCGTTCTCTCATCACTCGCGAGGCTCCGAGTTCGCGTTCCTTCGTCATCATATCTCTGTCTCTCTCTCTCTCTCTCTCTCTCTCTCTCTCTCTCTCTTTCTCTCTCTCTCTTTCTCTCTCTCTCTTTGCTCCGAAGGCGAAGGATCCCGCGGATGATAACGAATGGTGCGCGTTTGAAGCAAAAGGTTACGCTTTACGCTCGAGGAGACGCCTCGCAGCGAAAATATTCACCTCGTAATTAACAGCGCCGGCATTTTCATTCGGTGATTTTTTTATATTTTTGCTTCCGTGTATGTTTATGAATAGACGGACTGACTGAATAATGAGAAATTATTTCTCTCTCTCTCTCTCTCTCTCTCTCTCTCTCTCTCTCTCTCTCTCTCTCTCTCTCTCTCTCTCTCTCTCTCTCTCTCTCTCTCTCTCTCTCTCTTTGTCTCTTCCTCCCTTTGTTTCTCTTTCTCTTACTCTTTTCCAGCAAAACCCGAACAATGTCTCGGCGTATTGATTACCAGCATTCCTCCGTATACAACTTTCCTATCACCACCTTCTTACTTACATATTTAACTCACACATTGCGCAAAGTAAATATGTACTGCTTGGAGGTCGAGCAGTACGGGACACAATGCGTGCACGGGCGTGTAAACATAACGCACAATGCTCCCTCGTATGTGGTTGCGCTATATGTATTGTATATCTTGGCTTTCTGCGGAAGAGCGGAACCGCGAAGAGTATCTCCACTCGTAGTCGGAGAACTTTACTTCCCATTGATAAGAGTACATCTATGAATATAACAATTCCTTTCCTCTCCTTCCCCTTCTCTCTCTCTCTCTCTCTCTCTCTCTCTCTGGTCTTTTCTCTTCAGTTGCTTATATCCGCCTATCTGGCTACCTCGACAATTTGCGCATTTCTGCACATTTTCCAAAAGACATTCCTCACATAACTTCTCTATCCCGTCCTCGGTCCGGAGCCACGATTTAAGTGCAAGTTGGCGGAAACTCCGGCGCTCCCGTTCTTGAGTCGTCACCTGGGAGAAGGAAAGGGGGAGGAAGAGAGAGAGAGAGAGAGAGAGAGACAGCAGGTATTTTTATTTAGATTTTATTAAGCGGCACAGGCGGGATCGATAGCGTGAAAATACTTTTCCGTTGTCGCGGGAATTTCATGAAATACGCTCTCGTCGACGGCCGCTTTCTCCTTCCTCTCACTCACTCACGCACTCCCTCTCTTTCTTTCTCCCTCGCGCTGCACGCGCGCGCGCGCGGCACCCGCATATTTGCATTTAGATTCGGCTTTTTCCGGCGCGCATCTCTTATGCGCGAGGCTATCTAATTTCCTCGGGATTTCGTTGGCCTTTTTTCGATGTCGCGCGCGAGAGAGCGCGGTATTACGTATACGCGGTCTTACACCGCCCTTTTCCTTAGGCGCTTTTCGATATTTATGTCCGTGTCCGTGCAGCACACCCCGACGCGCTTCAACCCTTTCACCTGGCTTTGAGCGTCTCGGCGCTCTCTCCATCGTGCGCGTTAGTATGCGATTTGTGAAATTCCTGCGTTCGAGCTGCGACGTTCGCACAAACAGACTGTCGTCAGCGTATATAAGTCAATATTACTCTTCGAGAATATTTCATCGAAGGCACTCTCTGTCGAGATCCGCGGAATATATCCCGGGGAATTATCCGGAGCAGACACCGTAAACGTACTTCATGTATATGTTATTTTCCTTCTCGAGCTTTCTCTCGTCCACCTCCGAGCCGACTCTCCGAGCTCGTCTCGGCCCCTGTTCTTTGCCGAATTACGTTTACATAAGTGGGCCCTTTTCTTCTACCGCTTCTTTCATATTTATGTACCGCCAGACCTGGAATACATCGGATAAATTTCCACCCCCGAGCACATCAGCGCCGGCCCCGCCGGCGCTTCTTAGCACCTCGAGCGAAGGAGGGTGAAAACAATTTGAGATATCGAATGCGGCGGATCAGGTTCCATACTGAACGGATTGATTTTATATCGCTACCGCCGCGGCGTCGAGTAAGCGCTGAAAGTCGGCGCCGTAAAGCGGAATATAGGCGCTCCGAAGAGACGAGACGACTCGACAATTCGCGCCAAATGCGCTCGTGGAAAATTGCTCGCGGAAGATCCAACGACCGCTACTCTCGGGCTTATCAGTCTCAACGAACCTGCATTGTATCCATTCGGCGTTGTTAACGAGCGGTCGCGCGGCTGCTGTGCGGCAAGCGATCGACGGGAGGGGAGGAGGGTGGCAAACCCCCCGAAGCGTCGCGTTCCCGCGAGTGTCGCCGGAGTATTCTCCGGCTCTTCGTACGATCCAACGCCGATTGTGGCACTTTTGCCGAAGGAGTCGCTTCTTTTTCTCAAGCGTGCGTCTCCCTCAGTCGACGGCGGTTTGCGGGAATTTGCTCGCAGCAGCCGTATTTTTAGACTTCACCACGCCCGGACCATCGTTCTATATGTACTCTGCTGGGCTGAGGCCGAGCTTAACGGCCACGATCTCGAGTATTTTTGAGAGGAAACCGCTCAACGGCGGCCGTTCAGCTCAGTCGACTTGTGTCGTGCGCGCGTTGCCCGCTGAGTCGCGCTTCGGCTGCGGGGCGGATTCTGTCTACGGAGTTGCGGCGGCGTGCCTCGCCTCGGGCATTTTTGTCTTCGGAGAGAACACGCTCGCCTTCGCGTCCGATACTCTTAAGTGTCAGGTGATGCTTACCCGCAGCCCCGGGGGCATTTGACACTCTCGTGAATCTCCAGTCTTCGTTCCGACGAGAGACTCGGATTCACGCCCCGCACTCGCTTATTCTTCGTGTACACAGCCGCGCACGGTGGCTAAACCCGTCCTTCGCCTCTGCGAGATCTCTCGGAGCCCTCGTGCTTGTCTAGATCCCCCCCTCCACCGTCCGACACCGCGTTCGTCTTTCGATCCGCGGGACCCCCATTGTGTGCGGGTCCGCTCGAGACCGCGCACTCTTCTCTCTCCGTGCGGGCGCACCCGTCTCCGGATGATGTCGGAGCTCTCTCGAAGCTCCAGCGGAGAGAGAGCATCACGATCGCGGCTGGATAAGCGGAGCACCGCAGCATTGATTTCGTACGCGCGCGATTCTAGTCGCGCGAATACTCGTCGAATACCTTCCTCTTTGAGAGAGGCAGCTCGCTCACCATCTCAAAAGCGCTCTCGAAAGCAAACCCCGGGATTATTAATTGATAACTGTCGGCAGGGCCACCGTCAGCGCCGGCGGCGCGCAAACTCGAAAGACACAACGCCACGTAATTTATGCAAAACTCTGCTAAACTCCCGCGAATCTCCATACTCCATACTTGTACGCGACGCTTTTTGCGCGCGCGCGCGCGCGCGTAACATCTCCGCTGTCCGACTTGCCTCCCATACACGACGAATCGCTCGCGCTCTGATTGCGCGTTTCCCCGTTAGTACAGCGGAGTTAATTTATGTCGAGTTGTTTGTAACGTATGTACTCTCTGATTTCTGACAGTACATGTTTTATGTATGCAGCGCCGGTAATTTTCTCGAGATGTCTGCCCAGGTCTTCGCGCGCCAGGCATCCTGGCGCCGCGCTACGCGTAACCTCCCGAGGTCTCTTCCTGCGTGCTTTTAATATTTCTGTTTTTTTCGATGCTCCCCCGGCCCCCCGCCTGACCTGGCCCGCTGAGATTCAGAGCGTTTTCACGTTGTTGACCCTTCAATCGCGCGAGACCTACCTACCCCACGAATGTCTAATGAAGCAGCTGCTGTCACTGAGAGAGCTGTCGCACGCGGCGCGCTGTGCGGCGTGCGGCTCCGCCGCTGGAATTCGGGATTCGAGGATGTGCCTGCCTCTTTGCGAGAGCGTCGCTCTCATTTGTTTGACTTGAGAAGAAATTCGAGCGCGATCCCGTCCTATCCGAATGACAGACTCGATTTCTCTTCAGTTAGTTTCCGAAGCAATTCCTCTCCGCGATGTTGACGAGTAAGTTCTATTTACTTTCGTTACCCGGTTCATTAAGTTCGGCGGCGCCCACGGTCGGATCGCAATCACGCTCACGACGAGGAAACAGTTGCGTTATTAACGTCGCGAGTGGGCAACATATTCTCGCGATCGCAATTGCGATCCACGGCGGTCGGGCTGGAGGGTTGCGGGGAGGGGGGAGGGGGGAGGCAAATCGAACAGTCCCGCGAAGAAAATTGAAATAAATCTGTCGAAACGTGCCTATATATATATCGGCGGTGGAATAGGAGGAGACCCGATTGAGGCACTAAGAAGGAGAACTTGGGAGGGAGGTGAATTTAATGAAGGCGGCGAGCCGGAAGGAATCCGGTATAACTTTCGAATCAATATGACAGTGATATTGTCTTTGAAATGAAGATAGTTTTAAACTCGGCCTTAATGAGCTCCCATTAAAATACAATCGGCGCGCAGCGGGACGCGCCCGCTCGCACTCTCTCGTCCATTTGCTCCAACTCCGGCCGTATATTTCGCCCTCGGAAGATCACAAGCGGACCGCTCTCTCTCTCTCTCTCTCTCTCTCTCTCTTCCTCTCTCTCTCTCTCGGCGGGCCCATCCCGATCTTGATCACTCGATAGCGGCACATCGTCCTTAAGCTACGGTAATGGGCGCGCGTGCGCGCGCGCGATATTATGTTCCGCGGGCACTTTGTAAGCTGTCCAATTCTCTCCCCCCCCCCCTCCCCCTCCGCTCCATGTAACATCTCGAATTTCTAATTTACATGGGTTCTCAGTTTCCCCCCCCATTTAATTACGCGGGCATACACGCTCGTGCGCGCCCGCGCCAAGTCGCGGGCGATACTTGAACGCATCGCGCGGACGGCTCGCCGTTATTAAACGCGACGCGTTCTTTCCACGTGTTCGCGGAGACTTTGAATTATTAATCCTCAGTGGGACGATGCTACTTCTCCGAGCCTCTCCCCCCTCAGCCGTCGCCTGTGCCACGTCGGGCGATATTTATGCCGGTTTTATTACGTACTTTTGCGTACTGGCGAGGGATTAACGTTCCGTGTTGGGCCGACGTTGTCGCCGATAAACGACGGTAAGGCAGGCATCGGGTTAGAATACTTCGTTGTCCCAAATGTGTCAGGGCGTGCAGGCGATGTTAAAAACGTAGGTAGGTGAAAATTCATCACGAAGATTGGGAGGCAAGGAAGCATGATCGAAAAATGTCGCGCGCTTTTGAAGCGCGATAACGAAATTCTTTGTCGCGCCGGCGTACGGTAGGCGGGCTACGGGGGTGGCCCGCGTAAATATTTCAGCGAAGGCTGTCAAAAAAAATTGTTCAGGCAAGCGGCGAACAAGGGCGCACGCTCCGGCGATCCGAAACTGCATTTCCCGCAGGAGAACCAACGCCCATTCACTTCGCGGGAAAGCCCTCAGACCGCACGCAACGTTTCGAATCACATCTCGACTATCGTTCGCGGCCGCTCGGCCGTGACAGTAGTCAGCTAGCGGTAACAGCGTATATCTGGCCTGGGGTATATGGGTGTCGGCGGCGTGTTTACAGTGTTCTCTCACACCTGATCCTATAATGCCTCCCTCTGCTGGCCGGGGTGCGCTGCGCGAGCGTGGCCGCGTGTCAGGCCGCGCTCGAGTGAAAGGGTGAAACGCGCCAGAGCGTGAACGGACTTAAAATGCGCGCGCGGAGGCCGCCGCCGTTGCGCGGGCTACGCTCTCTCGCGAGATACACCGCGAAACGTGAGTCATCCCGACAGTATTTCTCAAAGTCGGGATCGCGCGCGGTACGGTGCAATAACTACTGTACACCCACCCTCGCTCCCAAATTCCACCGCATCCTGAAGCTCTCCAGCTTCCGAGATGTACCCGCGTGTAATAAATGACTTTGCGGTCGGATTACGGTGCGTCGTCGTTGTGTGTTATTGGGCACCAAAAGGCAGCTTGCTCTTGTTTTCATAAGTAACACCGCGAATGGGTGGAAGCGAGAGAGAGAGAGAGAGAGAGAGAGAGAGAGAGAGAATGTGTGCGTGCGTGTGTATGTGTGTAAAGAGGATGGGAGAACAGAACAGAGGCAAGGAGGGAGATATGAGATGATGAATCGTACGGTGCAATCAGTGTAATAGTTTTCGCCGAGGAATTTATAGACGGTGACACATTTGAATATAAAATAATAAATACCACCGATACATCAGTAGTCAATCGGTAGTTGCGTAGCACCGTGTGCACCTCACGTAGATGTAACGAACAGCGGCGGGCGTAAACTTTTTTCCCCTCCCTCGTAACGTACAGCTGTCAAAGTATTAAACTCGTATCACCTATTCGTAATCACTTTGGAATACTACACTCAAAAATCGTAAATTTATCAATCCAATATTTCAGGCCGTTTGAAATGTTTTGAGAGTTTTATGTCACACTGCTCAGCGCTATCGACTTACAAATCACAAAATCAATGCATATGACGTTTCAGAGGAAAGAGCAGAAATGGTTTCCATTTGCGATAAAACCGATATCAATTCTGCGAGAACCCGCCCCGTTACAATGACCGTAAACACAGAGAGGTATCAGGAGAATGTTATCCCTTCACTCTTGATTGATTAATTAAACCGTCCATTTAATTAAGCGTTATAGAGTAGAATTGTTTTAATTAAATGTATCTACTTTCCTCCGGAATTATTCCGTGGGCCGGATTCGTGTGCGGTCGGATATTTCCAAAATTTGACACAAAATTGTATGCGTGCGCGATAACTACACGACAATGTTCCATGATGGATAGTATCAAATATCACCGATACATGACTCAATTTTTATTTGTATCGTTTCCTTTCAAGTATCTCGATCGAATTTGATTAAACCATAAACGAAATTTTGCATGATAATAAAATACATCAAATTTCTATGACTAGAGCAACCAGGTAAATGAATATTGAATATATCGAATTATGTATCTGTATCGTTCACCAAATTAACGACTGCTTCGGGTAACGTTAATCTGTTTATAAGAAATATCGGATTATTACATCACACGAACAGCAGCTGATAATGTAAATGCAGTTAACAGAGCAATCCGTACGTGTGAGCGGATAATTATTTATTCGCCTAATTGCGTAATCGGGTGGAAGTACCCTTTTTACCGGGGCGCAAACGGAAATAGCGTGGTTAATGTGATTACCGTTCGATGTTAAGTCGCTAATGAATTAGAATTTCTATGAATAATAATATTAGTTGCATGTGATGTGATTATAACCGTACTGTTCTGCAGAGGACACGGTCTAATTGAATACTAAATTAATAGACAGTTTACTCAATGCACGTATGCGCACGCGTACGTGTGAGGGGGGGGGGGGGCGGGGCGGCGGATTGTTCGAGGAATTAATTAGCGCGGGAGATTAATTTCTTGTCGAATAATTAATTGCGGTAGAAAACGAATCGGGCCGAGTCGACGAAGGAAGGACGCCGGTGGAGTTTCCTGCCCTTTTCGCAAGGTCTCAAATTCTTTGAACATTTCCTAGACACGCCAGAACAAATACAGCATATCCATTCTCTCGGCGTATGTACGTACTCGACGGTTGAAGGTTTATCGTTGGAATAAGTGATTAATACACCTATCGCCTGGCGGAGCGAAATATTGCATATCGAAGGTATGATCGATAGTATATCTCGACTCCTCTCGATGTCCTTTATATCAAAGCGTATCGGGGAAGCCGAAATTGGCAGTTTGCTAATGGAAATAGTAACATGCAGATTTGCTGCTCCAGATGAAAAGTTAATTATGCAATCGGTCTGCTTTCATGCGAATATCACTCACAAACACGCGCGCTCACGGAGACACGCACGCACGTGTTCACGCGCGCGTGCGCGCATTATACATATTAATTATAATATTGATATTATTGGATAAAAGGTTACATCATCGTTCCCGATAAATCACACCGTTGTATTAATTTCGTATTACATTGATTGCCTATTAGCCAAATCTGATAGGCCAAATATCGTTCCGCAGTTCCCCCGGCGGAGAAACACTGAATTACAGTTATTAACAGATTACAGGATATCGTGTCGCACCTGCCGAATTGCGGCCACGTTTGTGTACTCGGCCGCTCGGCCGCTCGGCCAGGGAAAGAGCTGGAGATTGAAGCGGAGAGAGAGAGAGAGAGAGAGAGAGAGAGAGAGAGAGAGAGAGAGAGAGAGAGAGAGAGAGAGAGAGAGAGAGAGGTATTAGAACGAGGAATAAAACGCGCGGAAAGAATCAATTCAAATTTCTCCTGCGAATCGTCGCACCGTCAAGCTTCGCTGGAGACGCGCACCGCCTCCTATACCCGGCTTGCCGTCTCGCGACGACAATTTGAACGGGCTTCATTCAGATGCCCGAACGTAATCGTGGGCATCTGTTCAAGATAATCGGCCGCCGTGCCAATTTCAGCCTCTCTCTCTCTCTCTCTCTCTCTCTCTCTCTCTCTCTGTGTGTGTGTGTGTGTGTGTGTTTCTCCTTTCTTCAGCGTCTCTCTCTCTCTCTCTCTCTCTCTCTCTCTCTCTCTCTCTCTCTCTCTCTCTCTCTCACCCTCTCTGTCCTTCTTTCTCATTCGGGGAAGCGGGAGACCCGCCCGGTTTGAGAAACCCTGGCGGGACGTGCCCGAGATCCTGTCACTCCCGTGGCGAGCTATCCCCTTTTCCCGACCCCGACGGGCTCTCACGCCCGTAGTAAACAATACGACGTCCCGGAGTATAAGCGGCTCACGTCTCACGTGTCACGTTCGGCCATTTGCAGAAGCTAGAGCGGAGATAGCCGGCCCGGCGGAGAAATTCGTGAGGCCCGGCAGCACGTTGCAACTGCACTGCCTCGTGAAGAAGTCGACCGAGGCGCCGACGTACCTCTTCTGGTACCACAACTTACGCATGATCAACTTCGACGTGGAGCAAGGCGTCAACGTGAGCACCGACCTCGCCGGCAGGGAGAGCTGGTTGGAGGTGCCAAAGGCATCGGACCGGCACTCGGGCAACTACACCTGCAAGGCCACCAACGCCCAGCCGGCGCGCGTCTTGGTGCACGTGTTCAAGGGCGACAATCCGGCCGCCATGCAGCACAGCATGGCGACCTCACCGTCGATGATGGCCTGCACCGCCTTGCTCACCATGTTCGTCACGCTCAAGCTGGCGCTGCAGACGAACTGGAGCTTGTGACGTGCGTGTGTGTAAGGGACACGGACTTAATCCGAGGGTGTTAGCGGAATTGTGTAATTATTGTCATTAAACGTGCCCGCGGAAATCGCGCGCGAATTTCACCGCCAGGAGAGCTTTGCAGCAGACTCTCCGGCGGCCATAGCAGCACGCTGCTTCCAGTCGCGAAGATCCATCGTCGTTAACGAGACCGAGGACTGTGCGGGAGAACTCTCTTTATTCCACTATACTCTCTCTCTCTCTCTCTCTCTTTCTCTCTCTCTCTCTCTCTCTCTCTGTTTCTCTTTCTGTCTCTTTGTGGGAGCTGCGGGATCGGCAGTGATTGATCGTTGCTTATCCAGAGCGGTCGAGCGCGTTCGCAGTGCCCAGCAAAATAGTATCGAAAGGTCACTTGTGGTTATTTGCGCCGTTGAACGACCACCTGATCGATTCGGCGTTTAATTACAGTCGCGACCGGCAGATACGTGTAACAACGTAGCGCGCTAATACGAAGAGCGCGATAATGTCATCGCGCGCCGAAGTCCACGAGGTTGCTGACGAATGGATCGGCGCATCCATTGAAATCCCCAGTAATCAGGCGACGTCGTCGTTCTTCCTGACGGAGGACGACATAGGCGGCGAGTGTAACGGCTCACCTGTTCGCATCCGTTCGCAGAGCGAGCGAGCGCCGGGCCGAGGAAGCTCAGCGCCGCTGTAGAATAAAACGCCGCCGTGTAACTTGGAGATGGGTCGCGTATTATCGTCTATTCTTCCGGCGATCGATCGTGTTACATTCCGTGTCACATGCTGGAACGAGGGATATTAGGCCGTGATGCGCACAGGCTTCGCGGCGCCAGGAGTGTGTGTCTTCGGCGGCGGTGGATCGACTCCCGCCCGCGAGAGATCGTGTTCGACGATCGATCGAGTGCGTGTGACTAGCGTGCCGAGCGGGAAAAATTGGACGCTGACGCGCGGATGAAGACAGACTCATCAATCTAACCGGCTAATACGACGCTAGCAGCGGCGTTCGCCGACCGCGCGCGCGCGCGCGCGCGCGATCTTCCACGGGCCCGAGGTTTCTGTGTTGGTGAATGTGCGCGGTGCTATACGTCCGGGTAGAGAGAACTCCTCAGAGACCGATGAGCGCTGTGCGAGATGGCATTTGCGCGCCGCGCCGGTACTTTGGCGGACAAAGCGGCTCGTCGCGTGCACCGCATGCGTGGCTGAACGATCAAGTGTGTCGAATTTCGGCCGGTGGGCCGGAAGGAGAAGAGAACGGAAATCGCGCGCGCGCCCGACACACGAGGATGCTCGACGACGACGTGACGGGAGCGCGAGTCCCGAGATGAAAGCAACAACCCGGCTGAAAGTAAGTGATTGATAGCGCGGAGATCGGAACTGTGTCCGCGGACACTCGTGGCCGTGGGCATCAGCAATCGCCTGGACGGCGCATCAAAGCGACCAAGCGAAGATGATGCATTCGCCGGCGATGCGCTGCTCGCCGCTAATAACACAGGGCGCTTTGTCCTTGACTCGAGTGCGCTGTGGAAGACAAATATACGGGGAGGTGGTGGAAGGACTGTGGGTGACTTTGGGAAACTACGGGAGTGACGTCTCTTCTCTCGCCGAGGCCTAAGATACTTGATCGGCGCGCGGCTGCGACACGCGGTCGTTCCAACGAAAGTCTCATGCGAAATGTTCAGCCCTCCAGCCGAGAGGGCTTTCGACTCGAGAGGACTCTGCGGACGGTGGTGGGTGATGGCGGACACGAGTGAAAATAATATCCAGACTAAATAAACCGAAGCTGAGCTCTTCACTAAACTCTCGAGCGCAGAACGGCGGCCTCGTGCGCGCGCGCGCACAGACGGACGTTGATCGCGCCCGCGGAGTTATCGTGCCAAGGTTCTTTTGTAATCAAACACTCGCTGAGAGTTAGTATAAGCGATCTCGGCGATCGAGCCGCTCGCATCGGTAAGTGCGAGGCATCGATGCGAAGGGAATCAATATAATGAGGCTTGCGTTCGGCCAGAGACGGGCTACTTCCGTTCATGCGCGAAACGGCTCAAATTCGGCAAAAAGGAGAAAAGAAACGAATTCGGCAATTTTATTCGGGATTTTAATCGAGATAGTTTCCCTGAAAATCCTCGTTCGATACGCGCGAACACATCTTGTTTCGAGGGCTTCCATCAAATTACTCGAAATTGAATGTATTCGCAGGAGGACTTCCCACTGACTCTTCCCGACGCGATTCGAAGATCGAACGGGTGCGAGCGGGTTGAACGACGAACGTTCCACGTGATCAACGGCGATAAGAAGCCCGCGGAGCAACCGCGGAGTAATCGTTCACTTTGCGGCCGCGATTAATCGAGAGACTGTCCGTACGGTGTTCACCTCGTGTCGTGTCGCACGGCTCTCCTCGACGTAGCCGGCCAAGGAGAACTCTCCTTACTCGGGTGTCCACGGGGGAGTGCCTGCGATCGTCGAGTCGACGAGCCCGAACCCGAAGGGTGATCGACGTTACACGCGAGGGTGCGTTGCGCGCGCTTTCCCGATAATGAAACGATAATCGGTCTGTGACGAGTGCCGCGATTAACGGCGGCATTTCGACGGGTCGCTGCGCCGTCACTTCGCCGGCACAACTTTCCGTAATGTCTGCATGCGACCTTGCGCGACCCGATACTCTAACCTTGCACGCACGCCGCCGATTGAAAGTGCAAGCGCTGTCGATAATCCGCCGCCGCCGCCGCCATGCGTGCTGTACTAACACAGACAAATTACGAAGTTTCAAACTTGTTAATCTTGATTATCGCCTCTCGTCACACCGTCGTCGCACCGATGCGCGCGATGAAAAATTAAGGGGCAGGGGGCGGCGGGAAGGAGGAGTATAGGAGAATAGGAGAAGGAGGTGGAGGAGGAGCGCGAACGTCGACGTAGCCTCGCCGGCGAAGTTGCAAAGTTATAATATTGCGTGTTTTCGCAAGTTCCCTCTCTAAAGCTGACGCTAAACTGCAGGCTGCCGGAAACACCGAATTTAATGCACAGCTTCCGTTCCCGGAAGCACCGCGCGGGCGGCGCGGGCGGCGGACTTGAGCCCTCGGCTATCGCCGAAGGGAAAGAATTAATTAACTGAATTTGCCGCGAACTTGCGTGTTTTAGGAGCACATTTGGATTTGCTGTCGCGAATCTGGGAGGCGGTGCACCGAATTTCACTCCCATATCTAATCCCATTTTTAATACATATTTTAATACATATTCCTTTGTTTTATAAATATGTCTTTTTATAAATATGTTTCTGTCGACACACACACGTGGGCATCGAAATCGGGGATGCTGCTTTTATTCCTTTTTCTTCTCTTTTTCTTGCTTCTTAATCATGATTGATACAGAAATATCGCGTTCGAAAGTGCAATTAAATATAATGGGATATAATTTCAAGATAATGCGACTCCACCGAAGCGGGAAAAAGCGACAAGGGCTGCAATGTTTCACAAGGGGAAGACACGAGGTTGATGGCGGAGGGCGCATGGTTGGGGAAGAGGAAGGGGAGGTAAAATAATCAGATTCGTCCTCGAATTGAGGCATTAAAGGGCGCAATTTCCGACGGTTGTTCAATTTTCACCGTCACAATCGACTACGGCGCATTCAGGCTACATCCGAATGTAAGCGACACGCACGCACGGAATAATCCTGTATACTCGGTCTACGTAGCCGGCGCACATAATTAATCGCGATAATCCTGGCGTGATGCAGCGCGGCCTAACGATATTATCCTCCGTCGCTGCGCCGCTGACCTTGTTTATAACGTCGAAATTAGTTATACCCGACGTTCACGGGAGATCGTGTTCCGTGGCGCGAGTTGCAAGGAACATTTCCCTGCGGATTCGGTGCACATCATCGCGCATGCAGCGCGATGGTCGCGTTTAACCTTGGGGCGCCGTGCTGGGAATAGGAACAGCTGGCGGAAAGATTTCGCGTATTAACAAACGCCCGTGGGAAACGAAAGAGCGCAACAACAGAGAGAGAGAGAACCGGGACGAAGCGGCAAAAACCAGAGGAAAAACCAGAGGCCAGCGCAAGGGGGTGAGGTGAGGGGGTGGGCGGTGCAGAGAAATACGAAACGCTCTTGACATGGTCGAGATTCGTCAGATGTATCAGTCGTATGTGAGGTTCTACGCGATGTTCCCAATCGCGATTTCTGCTCAAGTTTTTCTTTTTCTATCCGTCCCGCACGCTTTCGCTTTTATCCAGTATTTCAGCGGTGAAATATCGCGGGAAAATATGTCGCGCTTTATTCGCGGATTTATTCGCTGTCGAAGCAGCAGCGGCGGCGGCGGCGGCGGCGGCGGCAGCGGTGGCGGCGGTGGCGGTGGCGGTGGCGGTCGTGGTGGCGGTGGCGACGGCGACGGCGGCGGCAGGCTGACACGATCATGCCGTTGCGCGTTTTTGATGATTGCTACTTTTTTGCTTTCCCTTTTTTCTTTGACGTTTTACCGAGGAACAAAATCCGCGCTAGATCGTTTCGATCCGGTGTAGGACTCGCGTCGCAGGACAAAAGTGCTGCGATATCGGCGAGTAGTGTGTCACTGTTCGTTCGTGGTGATTGATACTTTTTTTCGACATTTTGCTGAAAAGCAAAATCCTCGGCAGACCATTTCGATCTCCGGCGGACTTGTAGACGCGTACATAGACGCAGAATGGTATTACGGCTCTCGTTTGCGAGGGGTTCATTCCTTTTTATGACTTATGCCGTTTCACCGGACGACCGGCTAGCTCGAATCGCCTAGGCGACCGATCGAAATCGCATCGCGCATTAATTACGACGGGAAAGCCGAAGAGAGGGAAGGGGTGGTTAATGATCGCGACGAGTACATATTTCTATCTGTCGGCGAATGAAGAGGATGGAAAAGAGGCTGTATCCGGCAGTCGGTGGTGTGCGGCGGATTTAAATACTTGTTTCATTTACCTCTGCCCTCCATTAATTCATTATCCTGCAATAGGCGTCCCCGGTGACCATATATCGTGCACATTTTCGATGGGAATAATCCCCCGTACTGCGAATGGCACTCAACGAACGCACCATCCAGCACCGTTAAATGAAGAGAAGTTCTCGCCGATGTGTGAAAATCTGCGCAGAGCGGCTTCTCCCGTATAGACTAAGGGACACGTGTTAATGACTGGACAATGCCTCGAAAGAGGAGGGATCGATCGCGCGACGCGCGATTTCAAGTAAACACTAAACGGTAATATCTCTGTAACTAACGTCGTCTCGAATATTGTTTAATCATTAAGCGTATAATAAATGGTTTAAACAATCATCTACCGAGCTTTCGAGTGGATTTACTTCTGTGTCATGTATGTGTGCTTTCAAGTTAGTTATTGTGAAGTAGTTAATTGTGAAACGTACAAATGTGAAGGAGGACTTCTCACTGATGAGTTAACGATTTAGAGTCCTTTTTACGGGATTTCCCCCCCTCCCCCTTTTTTCTTTTGTTACCGTCGATCAATTTCGTTTCATTTTCATCGCCGCGATATGCATTTTTAGGTGGAGGATAACAATTCATCGTCCGAGGGATTTTTATCCCAATTGCACGTGCAGCGCGTCGACGTGATAGATCAAAACGTAGAGATACAAAGTTTACAAGAAATTGCGCATAAGTCGTGCATTGCGACGAGAGGATGATACACGCAGAATTCGGACAATTTACAGCTGCAAACACACCCTGATTGGCACCTCTCCCGTAAGTGTAATTACGCCACGCTGCAATCTGAAGCGTTGACCTCGATAATATCAGCGTGCTAATGACATTGTTTACCACATTAAAATTGACGTTCTGTTCGGCTGGTGCAAGTCAATTATTATGCCATGCTCGAATGACACACAGGTGGATAACGTTCTCATTAATTTACGAAAGGCGATCCTTATCGTGTGCGCGTCAGACAATTACGCTCCTGAATGCTCTCGAAGCTTGAGGTCGACGGCAATTAGTGGCTCTAAATTCTTAACTACACGATTTATGATTATCACTCAGCCGCATTCATGTTAAAGGGATTAGTAGATCTAAAGTCAAACACCAGTTCCGAGCAGCTTCCCGTGGTTTTGTAAAAATTCAGGCAATATTGTCGCGCGGGAACGGTAAAATGTAGTTTGTTACGTGGCTCCGAGTAAATGATTAATTAAATTTGAATATTATTTTAGACGTTTTTTGATTCGATATTACAAATTTAACGCTTCATAATCGTGACAAAATTATTAATTTGCCAAAATATCTCAATAACATTTCTCCATTATTTTTAATTCTTGCTAAAAGGATATTTAGATATTTTACAAGTTTACTTATATCACGATATTGAGAAATTATAAAACGCACGTTTGAATTATAATTATATTATATGGTTTTGTTTCAGCGATTGTATATGTATTACGAAATAGGTTAATCGAGCGATAACGCAAGGATAACGCAGGGGTTTTCCGATATTCTTCTCCCCCCTCTTCGCTTTCTCCCCCTCCCTTTGTTTCTCTCTGTGTGTGCACAGAGCCATAGTCACTAGACCCGTTTGATCCCATAAACTATGGGACGAAAGCCCTGCCGTACGTTGCTCCACAAATGCGGATGCACGATGAAACAATTCGTAATTAAGAGCAAACTAATTGCCTTGAGAAAATGAAATTTGTGAAACGATTACACTCAAACGGCGTGTAATCTTACTCGCACAACTGGAATTGCAATTTCGACGTTCCTCGTCGATCAGGTTCGTATATTCTAATTACGTTCGAAATTATTTGCCCTGTGCAGCATCGCCGTTTTGATGAATCTGGTTTCAGGCACAATCGCAATCACACGACCCGACAATTCGCTCGGTCTTTGTATACATTTCCCGTTCGCACCTAAACATCATCGCCTAATCTTTATTTTACGGCGCGAATTATTTACACGTTCAGATCAGTTCCGACGTTACAAAGCTAGACTCGTAGATTTCAAATTGCGAATTCAGTCCGGAGGATAATCAGATAATATACTTTTAGACGTTACGCTCTCTGTGACCTAACTATATCAAGCTTTTATCCTTAACAACGTGCGATCTTAGCGCACAGCTATTTTCTGAGAAACGGGGATCGTATTTGAAGGAAGTGGTGCTGCGCTCCATTGCCGGAGAGAACAGAAGTATAATTAATGTTACTTCTCAAATAAGATCCACGTGCCACTGTCCTTCTCCATTAATTGCACATCAAACTAATCGCGTCATAACTAACCGAATAGTCCGAATTAATCGACGGCTTTATTAATTGCAATAGAAGCTTCTTGCTTCAAGAGGTAGCTTGAAGCTTCTCATAGAAGCTCCCATTATCCTATCCTTCTGCCAAGTACCAACTTGACAAGTTGCAATTTTACGCAAGTATGTTGCAAGACTCTCTCTCTCTCTCTCTCTCTCTCCCTCTCTCTCTCTCTCTCTCTCTCTCTCTCTCTCTCTCTCTCTCTCTCTCCAAATAGCACGTTAAAGATGACTTGCCGATTAATTTCTCCTTGACTGTGACACAGTTATTCCAAAAAGGCACTCAAACACGCGTGCGGAAAAAATTATACAATCGAAGGAGAGAGCGTCGCGTCCCCGATATTCTTATATATTCGAATGTTTTTTTTTTTTTTTTCCGGAGCGCGCTATTACTGTGAAAACTGTGTCAGCCGTAAAAATTGCAGGTGACACTCGGACGGCTGATTGCAGGGATTTTCGCGCCGAGCGATATACGCGCGGGACGTTAA